GGTGCACTATAAACGCAATGTTCCTTCGTCTTTATGTCAATATTTGATCATTATATTAGCATTTCATGTTGCAATGTTAAGAGTATGTTATTTATTTTACATAGTGACCGGTATTAAAAAGTGGGTTGGTTCTCTCTCAAATGGATAAATAATTGGGTGGTGTTCTTAATAATGGGCAATATAAAAATTATGAGATTTTAAAATTATTTTATATGAAAGATGGCCGGAAGTTTACCTTTACAGTGAGTGATACTTTCTAATGTATATGGATACAGCATAGGTATATTAAAGTTACAAAATTTTGTTTCGATACTACTGTGAGATAATGTAATTTTAGTTTAGGAACTACTCATGAAATTACTCCCACGGTTCTTCGTTCTTAGGTCTTTAAAGTACATGGGTCAAAATTCAAGACATATATAGCAGATATAAATTTTGTATTGAGAAATTACTCTTCTGGATCCAAAGAGAGGACTACGTTCAGACTGTATGCTTCATGTATAAGAAAGACTTTCTTCTGCATACTTAGAGTCTATTATTTTTTTGCTCGATAAGTTAAATATCTTACTCCAAATTAAGTAAGTATATTGTCGCTTCAGAAATTATGTGACAGAAGGATGCCTAACAAAATAAAAATTAAGTTCTAAAGAATAATTATAAGACTCGCAATATTATGGTAGTGAACGTTGGGCTGCTAAAGTTTAACATATCCACGAGATTAGTGTTACAAAAATATGGATGTAATGATGGATATGCGGCCATACAAAATTAGATAAGATTAAAAATTACTATATTTTCTAGAAGGTGCAAGTGCCACACATTGAGAATAAAATGAGAGAAGGTCGTTTGAGATAGTTTAGTCATGTCCTGCATCGACCTACAAAAGCACATGTTCATACGTATGAAACTTTAATTAGTGAAGGTGTTAAAAAGGAATAGGGTAGACCTAAAATCACGTGAAAGAAAGTTGTCTTGAAAGACTTACAAATCCTTGGAATTAAAGCAGATTTGGCTAAAGATATGGCACAATGGCAGAAAAAGATCCATATAGGTAATACTTACTAGTTGTGAATAAGTTTTAGTCTTGTCAGACAACTTATATTTTTATTACCATTATACACACACGTAGGGGTGGGCGTCGGTCGGTGCGGTCGGTTATTATGAAAGTACGGTTCGGTTTATCGGTTTTCGATTTTGTAATATTAATAACCAAATCAAACCAAAGTATTTACGGTTCAGTGCGATTTTTTCAAAGTTCGGTTCGATTTTTTGCGGTTTAGTTTTTCGGTTATTAACGGTTCAAGATTTTTATATTCGATGTGGACTACTTATGTAACTGAATATAATATACGTACCACTGAAAGATTTCAGACGTGCCATTAAAAACTTCAAACAAGAAGAAATAAAAAAAAATTTCATTCCAATTTCCATATGAAAATCAGAAAGCTGTAATAGAGACTAATTGACATGCATTCTGATTTTGAGAATTGAAAGCTTTTTGGCATCTCTTTGGCATGCATTCTGATCCTAAGACGGAAAATGGAAATACAAACACAATTTAGCTAAGGAATGAGAAGGGCAAATAATTACCAACAGTTGGTCTAAGTCCAAACAAATTTGAAACAATTATATGAATTTTCAATGCCTATATTGCTCCGTTTAAATTAATTTAATGAATAAACAATTTAAAAAAAGCACTTCTTTTAATTTTAAAAATATAAAAGTTAAAGAATATTTTTACACAAATTAGAGTCAGTTTCCCTCCCTCTCACTTCCAACTTGCCAAAAAAGCAAAGAATGAGAAATTTTGATACCACCTAACAAGAATTACCTTATGAAGCAAACTTCTTAGTTCCATATTTATACTTTTAAAAATTCAAACTTATTCTCGAATAAATAAAATCAAATTCAAGAAAATAACAAAATAGCACATATGTAAGACATATTAACAAAAGAGAGGAAGCTTTATGAGTAAATAATTAAATTCTTAATTAGGAAACAAAAACCTCAAATGAATACTTGAAGTTTTATCTACTACATAATTATACAGAGAGAGACCAAGAGAAGAGGACAAAAATGATGAGAAGGAAGGCAGTGAGGGCAAAAGCTTTGACAACACTCTAAGCAGAAGATATTTTCTCATTTTTTCCTCCTATTTCTGTGGATCCCACATTCGGCAAAGAATTTCTTAGCCATTAATCCTTCTAATAATGCAGGTTTCATCGTCTCTTCCATCTTATGATCCTTCTTCTTTTTTATAATTTGTTTAAATTCTCCTAACAAATTAAAAGTAAGAAAAATAGTACTATGTAGCTGTTATATGTAGAAATAAGTCTCAGCTCAACTAAATCTGAGGAAGAAGGTAACCACTAACCTGAAGAAGAAGGATGAGCGACCGACGACAGCGACGAGCTGAGGAAGAAGGCGCCACAGGAGCATCGACACTCGGCAGTACTACAACAGTCGTACATAGTGACAGAGGAAGAACCCTAATTTCTAATTTATAAGGAGTAAGGAAGGGAAATGAAAAGTAATGTCAAAGTCTATAGGCTAATTAGGCTTAGGTTTTGGGTAAATTGGGTGGGCTTCAGATGGGTATTGGGCTTCACCCTTCAGAATTTCAGATGGGTAAAGTAACGTAAGTTTTGGACTCATACCCAAAATTTCGGTTTTTCGGTTTAACCGAAAATCGAAACACCAAAATCGTAAACCGCACCGAAAAATCAAAATCTAATAATTTAAAAACCGCACACCAACCGAATAACCGATTAAACCAAAAAATTAAAATTAACGGTTCGGCCGGTATTATGCCCATCCCTACACACATGCACGCGCGCGCATAGGGCTAAGCTCAGTACGTTTCAGTTGTAATCAGTTATTGTGGGCAACATCGGGAGGCGACATCGCTCGTGGCAGCTGATGGCTTTTGGCAACGAAACGGCGAGGCCTCGTGCAAGTAGCGCCGCAAGGTGCCGTGCGTATGGGGCTAAACTCAGTACGTTTCGATTGCCATCGGTTGTTGTGGGCAACATCGGAAGGCGACATCGCTCGTGGCGGCTGATGGCTTTTGGCAACGGAACTGCGAGGCCTCGTGCAAGTAGCACCGCAAGGTGCTGTGCGCACGGGGCTAAGCTAAGTGTGTGCCGATTGCCATCGGTTGTTGTGAGTTATGTCTGGCATCGCTCTTGGCGGCTGATGGCTTTTGGCAACGGAACGACGAGGCCTCATGTACGTAGCGCCGCAAGGTGCCGTGCGCATGGGGCTAAGCTAAGTACGTGACGATTGCCATCGATTGTTGGGGGCAACATCGGGTGGCGGCATCGCTCGTGGCAGCTGATGGCTTTTGGCAACTGAACGGCGAGGTCTNTCGTGCTCATGGGGCTGAGTTTAGTACATGTTGAAGGTCGTGCGGTTGTTGTGGGTTGTGTCTGTAGCTTTNCGGTTTTTTGTATTATATATATATATATATATATATAGAGAGAGAGAGAGAGAGAGTACAAAATTTATTTTTTACCTTTACTTTTATTGAGGTTGATATTATGATGATGATGATATGAGTTGAGTTTAAATTAAAGAAAGAAGTGAGTATTCATATAGCCGATTCAAACTTATTTGGGAGTAGTGCATAATTTTTGTTATTATATAATTGTATTTCCACTTTAGAAAAAAACACATATATCAAATGGAAAAGACAAAGCTAATACTAGACCATGACACATTAAACCAAAAAAAAAAAAAAATCTTTTTTTAATTTGCACTTCAGAAACAAAGAAAGCAAAAAGTCTCGAACTTCACATCAAACTTCTTTTTTCCTTCCAATAGTCAATTGTTGGTTTGCATATAAATGAACATTCGTGTAACAAGTAGATCTGAATACTCTATTCATTATCTTTTGTCGTAGTTGGCCTCATTAATATGTGCAGCTGCTGTTACTCTATGTTTACGACTTTCTTATTATCGGGTCAATGTTTCTTGGACAGCTTCCTACAAGAACAGCTTTAAATATTTGGTTGAGCAGTTTCACTTATTCAATTTTAAAACAAAGCTAACTATAACCCACGTTTCATCCCATCCTTTAATTTCAATCCTTCTTTTGTCAAGTGGAAATGCAAAATTCAACACGGCGCAAGTAATTGCTAGGGTGCAACTTTTTAATAATATTACTCACAATCATTAGTCGTTTAGTCTTTGCTCTCATGTTTTTTTTTTTTTTTTTTTTTTTTTTTTTTTTTTTTTTTTTTATTATTATTATCTTCCCATGTGAAGCATGAAAATTACTAATACTGCTGTAATTACTTTGTTGATTCTTTATTTTCTATTTTTCCACTTTCTTTCCATCTTACGTCTCACATGCAATTAATTTAATCCCGAGAAGCAAGAAATTCGCTGTTAACGAACTAACTTTAGAGCTCCCTGAACAACTCATTACATATCTCTAAGAATAAAGATATCAAAATATGGAAAATACGCAATTGTTTGGAAATTTTATGTAATTAATCTGTTAGAAAGGAAACTTTTGAGAGTATCGTTCTGTAATATAGTTTTAGCTGTTGATTTATTCCTCATCATCATCTCAGAAAGAGTTTAGTTAGACGATTAGCTGGCCCTAAAGTATTCTAGTTACTCTGATGATGTGTGTGTATGTCTGTATATATTGAGGTATACATACCGACATACATTATATATTACTTGAACAGAAAAATATTGGTTACACGTAAAATGGATTTATAAAACAGACCCAACTGCTTGTCACTAAGACATAATTGTTGTTGCTGGTATTTACATGACTAAAGTTGAATATTCAAGACAGCTATACAGTTCAAAAACTTTAATATACAACTATACATTATATTTTTATGACAATTAAACAAATTAAGTAAGCCTTCCAGAATGGAGCCGCCCCAAGTTGTGAAACCAATCGTGGCAATTGACTAACAATTTTCTCAACTATAAATAGCAGGCTTCTAGGCTTAATCCGAACAGCTCTCATTGCTAAGAGGTCCAAAAATTCCAAATCTTTGGAGAAGAAGACTATTCAGCTTGAGCCAACTTAGTATCCAAATCTCCTGAAATAATATGGAACATCAAGGATTAAGCGCTTATATGAGGAGAATCCTCCTTCTGATAAACTGTTTGATTCTTGCTGTTGGTATTTGTGGTGGTCCTCTAATGATGCGTTTATATTATGTCGAGGGAGGCTCAAGAATATGGCTTAGCAGTTGGTTACAAACTGGTGGATGGCCACTCACCCTTGTACCTCTTGCACTTCTATACTTGTATCGTCGAAAAATCAAGGGCCCTGATGCCAAGTTTTACTTTATAACACCCCGAATTTTCATTGCATCATTCATCATTGGCATTGCCACTGGAGTTGATGATTTTCTCTATTCTTGGGGCGGGTCAAAACTCCCTGTGTCAACCTCTTCACTTCTTCTCGCCGCTCAACTTGCCTTCACGGCAATAGGTGCTTTCTTCATAGTGAAGCTAAAGTTCTCACCCTACTCTACTAATGCAGTGGTTCTATTGACAGTTGGTGCTATTTTATTAGGTATTCGGGCTAATGGTGATCGGCCAGAAGGTGTGACAAGTAAAGCCTATATTCTTGGGTTTATTATGACACTTTTGGCCGCAGCTTTATATGGAGTCATTTTGCCTTGTATTGAGCTGATGTACTTGAAGGCAAAGCAAGCCATTACTGCTACGTTAGTGCTGGAGATCCAGATGGTCATGTGTTTTGCTGCTACTGCATTTTGCACCGTAGGAATGATAGCTAATAAGGATTTTCAGGTATTCTTCTTTCCCTTTAACTCATTTTCACCCATCGATCTTAATTACTCCCCTTTGACTCACTTTATGTGACATTGATTTCTTATTTATGTGTTTGAATGAAATGACACGTTATTATATTTAAAAATAATTTAACTTTATGTTCTCATCATTTTACTTCTAATAAGAAATATTTATATCCACACCAATATTATCACATATTTAAGGCACATGTTTCAAGAGTCTTACGGCCACACAAATGTTATCACATGCTTAAAATTGAAAATTTCAAAAACTTTTATTTCTTTTTTTGAACTTCATATAGAGTTAAACTATGGTTAACATATCTCTCTCGTTTGGTATTACTGTTGAATCCCTTAAGACCCTCAAATGACAAAACTATCAGCTTTTGTTTCAGTGATCTACTGGCGTTCACAAAATTTAATACTCCATCTTCTAGGAATTTCTTTCTTTATTATTCGTTGGAAACTTCTTTCGTTTTCCCTTTTCTTTTCTTTCTCCTTATTTTGTTTCCGATAAATCTTTTTGATCTTAATGACTGGCGAGGGAGAGAATAGAAGCTTGTGATTTGTGAGTTGACTTTATAAGTAGTAGGACATTAATGAAGGAGCTAGTTCGTAACCCTTTATTATTCATATCCCATTTTTGTCTAGGAATAGTACATTATTTCTTAGTTGGATGATCCATTAGGGAGACCAAGAAATACATCAAAATCATGGGTTAGGGTTGACTGAGACATTTTACGTACTTGAAAATGATATATTCCATTAAATTTGCACATGTCAAAAGAAGATGAAAATAGTAGTAGTATTGGATTCAAACAGATTACCTAAAAATAATGTATCCGTTTATTTGCTAGTTTATTTCGGTCTCAGATATTTGCGTGAAAGATTAATGAGGATTAATATATATTGATTGAAATTTGCAGGCAATGTCAAGGGAGGCAAAACAATTTAACTTAGGAGAAGCGAGATATTATACAGTGATTGTATGGACTGCCATTATTTGGCAATGCTTCTTTGTGGGTGTTATTGGAGTTATTTACTGCTCTTCTTCTTTGATGTCTGGTGTTATGATAGCAGTTCTACTCCCTGTTACTGAGGTATTAGCTGTAATTTTTTTCAACGAAAAGTTTTCAGGTGAAAAGGGACTTGCTTTGTTCCTTTCTCTTTGGGGTTTCGTCTCATACTTCTATGGAGAGTTCAGACAAACAAAGAAGCAAAAGAATAAGAGTTCAGAAACTGAGATCATGGCAACGACGCATACTGAATCTGTTTGATTTATTATTCATAGTTGTAGGGTAAAGACTTAAGTTATTTTTTTGCATAAAATACGTATGCTGTTTTCCTTTTAAAACTACTTTATTTCAAGTTAGTTTAAATACTTGTCTCCTGTCTCCTTTATTTGAAACTTTTGATGTTGCTCTTAAATATGTACTACAGTACTTAAAAGATTTTCAGTTGCCTGCTACTGCTCATTTTGCATGAGTAATTCAACGTTACAATTAATGACACCACACCTAAATGCTAATTAAACCTGAAAAAGACTTTCATTGGGCTATTGCTTAACTAAGATTTTCAACGGGCACCGCGACTTTTACATTTGCTTTTCCAGCAAAAACAGCTCATACATTCCATTCTATAAGATCGTCTTTCCGTAGAAACGATAAACACAGGATGAACTGGTAGGTACAAAATAATATCAAAAAGTATTTCATTTGCTAATTTATCCCAAACCACCCTCGGTAATAACAATTTGTAACTGTGACGACCCGATAGGTCGAGTACTAGCCTTTATTTCCGTGTTTTTAAGAAAAAGTGATTTTAGTCTTAAAATGGACTTGAGTTGACCACGGTCAACATTCTTGGTAAACGACCTCAGATAGGTATTTTGACGATTCCGGTAGGTTCGTATGATATTTTTGGAGTTGTACGCACTTTTGGTTGGGGTCTAGGGTGGTCCGAGCACATTTAGTTTGGAGCCCGAGGGGCTCGAGTGAGTTTCGAGCGTGGAGCGGATGAGTTTGAATGATTTGACGATAGCTGGTGCAATTAATTTGTTGGTGTTCAGTTGCACATCTCGTATTTGCGAGCCTCGCTTTTGCGGTCAAGGTATCGCATTTGCGAGCATGGGCTGGGGGCTGGGTCTTCGTATCTGCAAAGAGTACGTCGCTTTTGCGAAGTCCACTGTGCTCGCTTTTGCGACAAAGGCATCGCATTTGTGATGAAGAGTAGTGTTGGGGCAACTTCTCATATGCGAAGCTAAGCTCGCATCTGCGATGGGTAGGATATTCGCATTTGCGAGATATTGGTCGTATTGCGATCAGTATTTCGCATATACGGACTTCTCATTTGCGAACAAATGTTCGCAAATGCGATACTTGTAGCTGGGTTAAAGATGAAAAAATTGGGACTTAGCTCATTTTATATCATTTCTCAACCCTAACACTCTATAGGCGATTTTCTTGAGAGCTTTTCTTCCTAAAATCACTGGTAAGCAACTCTAATCCACTTTCTATCATTTCCCCATTACTTTTCATGAGCTTTTAATATCAAATCTAGGATTTTCATGGTAGAAATTAGGAGTTTTGGATAGAATTTTGGGATTTTATAAAATTGATATTTAGATCTCAAATTGAGGTCGGATTTCGAAACAAATCACATAACCAGACTCGGGGGTGAATGAATAATCAAATTTTGGTTCGGATCTCGAATTTTGACCAAGCAAGCCCGGGGTTGACTTTTGTTGACTTTTTCAATTTAATCAAAGATTGAACCTTTTCCATTCGTGAACGATATTTGGCTAGATTTGGTTGGTTTGCAGGTTTGATCGAAAGAAAAAGTCGTGGTTGATTGTTGAGTTGGCTACGCAAAGAGGTAAGTGTCGTTTCTAACTTTGACTTGAGGAAATTAGGGCTTGTTGGTCTAATTGTTATGTGAACTATATGAAAAAAAATACATATGCGAGGTGACGAGTGTATATGCACCGTCATGGGTTAAAACATGCGGGATTTGGCTATTTACCTTTATATCATCACTTATTCCTTGTTATCTCTTGTTATACGCTTTGATTGCTATATGATATTACTTGTTATCCATGATTACTTGTTACATGTTATTTCCTTGTTACTTATTTTGATTTATTCATTTCTCGCTCAATATCTGCTTACCCGCTATATGTTCCTACCTGTATTAGTTGTATATCTTTACTGCTTCATGTTTAACTTGCTTTCGTTGACTTTACATTACTTGTTGCCCTTTACTATGTTATTCCGATTTCTGTGAGTTCTTTAGCTAATCTTGTATTGGTGATTTGTAGAGAATTATAATTACAAGGTACTGGTTAACCTCCGTTTGTATTGGTTAACCTCCGTTTGCATTGGTATTTCCTTATTAATCCGCATGTTTTTTTTCCTTTTTTGGTGTGGAGATTTCGTAATTAGTTGTATTGAGTTATTTATGTAAATGAATTGATATTGGAATCGGGTTGCATGCCGCAACGGATAATAATATGATATGATGTTGGTATCGGGTTGCACACTGCAATAGATGTTTTGTTTATGTGGGATCGTATTGCACGATGCAACAGTTATTGTGGGATCGGGTTGCGCGCTGCAACAAAATATGATGTGTTATAACTGTTGGTAGTTGTAGCATTCTATTTCTGTATTGTGAAAGGAGATTATGAGATGATATGTTATTCTGGGGCCCTCTAGTAGTTGACCTGTGGATCCGTTTTTATTAGTTTACTGCTTTATCTATATTTTTGTATTCTGTTATTGTTATTCCTACAAGTTTATTGTGAGTGTCTTATCATAGCCTTGTCACTACTTCGTAAAGGTTAGGATCGACACTTATCGAGTACATGGGGTCGGTTGTCCTCAATCTATACTTTTGCACTTATTGTACAGACCCGATGTTGGTCCTAGCAGCGCGTTGCGGAGATTGCTTGGATTTGACTGCTACATGAGACTTGAGGTACAAGTGCTCGACGTTCTCAGTCCCTCAAGTCCCCTTCTATCATGTTTTACTGTTTATCTAGTTTCAGACAGTTGTACTTCATTTCAGACCATATTTGTAGTATTCTAGTTGCTCATATACTTGTGACTCCAGATTTCTGGGAGTAGTTTAGTACCGCGTTATTTATATAAGTATTTCATTCATTTTTGAGTTTATCAACTATTAATTATCATTAATTTGTTATAAACCGTTAAAACTTGTTAATCAATAATTCTAATATTGGCTTGCCTAGCAAGTGGAATTTAGGCGCCATCACGGCCCCACGGTTGGGATTTCGGATCGTGATAAATTGCTATCAGACTACTAGGTCTCCTAGGCCTTGCGAGTCATGAGCAGGCTTAGTAGAGTGTAGATGATCGGTACGGGGACGTCTGTATTTATCTTCTAAATGCTATAGAGCTTTAGGAAATGTCACTTCTTTCTTTCTCTATGACTTTATTCTATCATTTAAGTTTGAACCATTCTATTCTTGTTCTCTCTCAGATGGTGAGGACATGTACAACATCCATAGCCAGGCAGGAGCTGGAGCCCTAGGTTGCAGCCACTACCAGTGGTAGGGGCGGGGCCGAGGCAGAGCTCAGCCTCGAGCATGCGCAGCAACACCTATTGCAAAGCTACAAATCGAGCAGAAGGAGGAGATTCCTGTTCAGACTGCACCAGCTGGACCAGCTCAGGTCCCGGAAGGGTTCATAGCCACTCCCATACTTCAAGACGCTCTAGTTCGCCTAGTTGGCCTTATGGAGAGTGTGGCCCAAGCCAGAGTATTTCCTACGGCACCAACTGTCTCTTAGGATGGGGGAGGAGCCCAGGGTCCCACTACTCACACTTTGGAGCAGATGGCTCCCATATATCAGACTCCGACGGTTCTAGTAGTTGGAGTAGTTCATCCAAGCTCTTCCCTATTCATTTTGGTGGTACACCTTCTGAAGACCCACAGGATTACTTGGACCATTTCCACGAGGTGTTGTGCAACATGGGTATTGTGGAGTCCAATGGAGTCAACTTCACAGTGTTTCAGATGATCGGTTCTGCTAAGAGATGGTGGCAAGACTATATTTGAGGCACACCAGCAAGTTCACCTCCACTAACTTGGGATCAGTTCTCACAGCTATTCTTGGAGAAGTTCATCCCTTTTACTCTGAGAAAGGACTACCGCATCTAGTTCGAGCGTCTACAACAGGGTAACATGATTGTTACCTAGTATGAGACCAGATTTGTGGACCTATCTCGCCATGCACTTATCTTGATCCCTACTAAGATGGAGAGGGTGAGGAGATTCAACGATGATCTCACCTTCGTTATCATGCTACAGATGGCCAGAGAGATTGAAGATGATATTTTCTTTACTCGGGTGATAGATTGCCAGACAGGTCAAGGGGGTTCATGGTCAGGGCAGAGAGGCGGCATCTTATAAGAGGCCTCATCACTTTTTGGTAGTTTCAGTGATGCCTCATCTGGAGGTAGGGGTTCATTTCGTATAGGCCATCCTCTTAGGATGATTCAGTCAACCCTTCAAGTAGCATATAGTGATTCAAGCAGTCATAGTTTTTATGGGTCTCGTCCTGAGCAGTCAGTATTCAACACACCTTTAGTTCCTATCAGTGCACCATCGCTACAGAGTTACTACGGTGGTTATTTGGGTCATCAGGGATCGTCTTAGATTCAGCAGTTAGGCTAGCCGCGAGGTTGCTTTGAGTGCGGTGATTCAGGTCATATTAGGAGGTACTGTCCTAGATTGAGGAGAGGTAAACCACAACAGGGTACTCGTGCCATGATTCCGTCACTGGTTGCTCCACCGCCCCCTCAGCCAACTAGATGCGGGGTCAGGCAGCTAGAGGTGGTGGTCAGGCCGTTAGAGGTGGAGGCTATCCAGTTAGAGGTTGTCCGAGAGGAAGAGGCTAGAGTGTTGGGGCTCAGCCCAATTTTTATGCATTCCCAGCAATACCTGAGGTGGATTTGTCGTATGCAGCCATCACAGGTATTATTCCAATTTTCCATAGAGATACATATGTTCTATTTGATCCGGGTTCCAATTATTTATATGTGTCATCCTATTTTGCTTCATATTCAATATGTCTTGGGATTCTTTGAGTGCTCCTATTTATGTGTATACGCTTGTCGGAGATTCTATTGTGGTAGACCTATTATATCGTGCTTGTTTAGTCACTATCGGGAGCTATGATACTAGGGTAGACCTTCTATTTTGGATTATCACACCAAGACTGTGACATAAGTCATGTCAAGATTGTCTCGATTGTAGTGGAGAGGGAATCGTGGCCATTTTACTAGCAGATTCATTGCAGATGTGAAGGCGCGGCATATGGTCGAGAAGGGGTGTTTAGTATATTTAGCCTATATCCACGATCCTAGTGCAAAGGTTCCTCCCAAGGATTCAGTACCAATTATGCGCGAGTTCCCAAAGGTGTTTCCTATA